TAGAATAGACTGCAGAACTTCCCACTGGTGCTGATGCAGGAGCATTTCATAGAGAATATTTTATTCCTCCTGTGGATTGATGCTGAGGGAAAGCCTATGCTTGGGATTTTTCCTTTATCTCATGTGCAGACTTATAACTCACTTTCAAAAGCAATTAATATTTATGAGGTCGGGCTGAGAATAATACAACTGCAGTGAGACAGTGAAATGTCTGCCATTCACACACTGCTGTATAGTGGTAAAAATACATATTTAAGTTTGAATTAATTAAATTGTATTTAATCCTTTCTCTGTGAGCTTGTAAACAGCAGCTCATATCAACGTTAGTCTACATTGTTGGCAAGTGACATGTGCTGTCAGCAGAATTTTAGAGACATTTCGTTTCTTGCATAAAGCTTATCAGTAATATAGAACTTTAAACTTTTTCTCATTGGTGTGCTAGCTGCTAAAATCAGAAGGTTTTTCCAAGATTATTTTTTTTTGTGCTTTGCATGCAGAAACAATGGAATACAAATAGTGATTGTGTAGTGGCTTCCTAAAGCAGTGGAATTAAAAATCACACTTTGCAGAGTCCTTTAATTGGCATTGATTTTAATCCTTCAGGTTAGCTTATTTTCAGTTTAAAGTGAAGAATCATCAAAAGACTGTGTCTCTGTAATTGGTGGCAAATACAATCAGGCTAAAAGTGTTCATCTTCTCATCCCGCCTTCCTGAGCAGGATGATGGAAGATATGAGCAGCTTATTATTGGCAACCTGGCGCTCCAGTTGTCTTGGGGAAAATAAAGTGGTTTGCTCTGAGTATGAACAAAACCTTAATGTGTTATTATTACTGTAGATCAGGAGCTGAGCTGTAGACATTGAAGTATTGCATTAATATTTGCTGTGCTTGGATTAGCTGAATTGGCAATGCATTTAAGTAGGGACTTGGGTTTTCTTATTATTTACTTAATTATATTTCTAATTTACTGTGGCTGAGTACTCAGCATGATTTTTAATTGTCTGAGGGAGACTCTTAATTTTACAAATGAGGTTCAATAAATGTGTGTGATATTGCAGTCTTGGCTTTATGGGAAGAAGACTGAGTTTTTTACTCATTGCTAAGCTTTATGGTGCTCCCATTACTACTACACTAGCGTGGTTGTAATTAAATTTTTAGAAGTTCATTTGCGTGTACTAGGCAGTCCTAATTTCTATAATTATTATTATTTTGCTATAATTTGGGTAGCAAATATATGAGGTTCTGGCTTAGTGCTTAAAAAGTAAAGAAATTGTTGATGCTAATGGCTTAATATGCACTCAATCGTCATCTGAAAGAGGCCTCTTCTTAACATCAGAGGTTATCTGCCATTTGTCACCTCAGGTACTCACCCTCATTGAAAGGTTGCATGCAATATATATAAAGCCCCTCTAAGTACGCCTTTGTAATGGAATAGATTTGGGTTGTTAATGTAGGTCAGTATCTTGACAGTGTGTGTAGAAAAATGGATACTCAACCATTTTCACTGTGAATTACTTTAATAAGATATAAGAAGTAATGAAAAAAATAGTGGGGAAAAAAAACCCAGGTAAAAATTTAATCCATTTCCTTTACAGAGTGTATTGTTAATTAAAAATTATGCATCCAAGCAGAACCCCGGGAGTGTAAAGAAGCATCATGTAAAAGAGAAATCAAATTGTTTAGTAAGTAATAAAACACTTGAAGACCTGCCCTTCGTTTCCTCATTGAAATTTGGTTTAATGATAATGGTCACACTGTGAATTGGTGTTCTGCACAGGAATGGTACAGATGTGATTAAAGTCTGTTTCTCAGACTCACAGATTCACAGAATAATTTACCTAGTAAGGAATTATAGGCAGGTGTAAAGTTGTGGAGGGTCTTGTTCCAACTGAGTGTTCAGTATCTCCCAGGATAGAGATGTCACAGCCTCCCTAGCACCTGTTCTGGGTTATTCTTTGCTCCTGTTCTTTGCCACACTTTCTTCCAGGTTTTTTTTAACAAAATCTATCTAAAAACACCCAAAAAATTATAAAAATTACCATCAAGCTCAAAATTATTTTTGTCATCGTACATGTATGATGTTTCATGCATCAGAGATCAAAAGAAAGAATATGCAAACATGTTAAACATATTCTCTTAACCTCTTGATGTCTTGAACTTTGGGCTTTCCTGAGCTGCATGTTTCTAAACATTTCTAGTTATCTAAATTGAGGGAATTTAATTTTCCCACACTTTTCCTGACTTCTCTTGAAGGCATGATTTATCTCCATGACCTACTGTGGCAGCAGTCCCACAGTACAACTGCCCTTTGCAGAAAGGGCCATCTCTCTTTTTTTATTTGTTCAGTTTTATTTCTTTTTATGACGTGACTCTAAATGAGCTTGATTTAATGTCCTATAGTTCTTTTCATCATCTTCCATTATTCAATTTTTTCTTTTTTATAGTGTTACCCTACTTATTTGTCCCTCATGCAAAAGTCATTCTGTACGCTTCATCATCTTGCTTTTTTGTGAACCTTTTCTGGTTGTATGTCTCTGATTAAATATAAAACAGGGAAAGTGGTCAGAGAAGGATAGCATGCATAGACATGCACAAATAAGAAAGACCAAAAGCAAAGCGGATGAAGAATTAAAGAAATCTTAAAACTATTAAGCTAATGTTGATTTAGTTTGGGCTGTTGACATATTGACATGTTGGCATGTGTTTGTACAGAATCTGAAGCACACTAGTCCATGGCCATCTCTGAAAACTCTGTCATATATACTTAGATGTTTGCAGAAAGTTACTTTCAAATTTTATCTTTTTTAGACTTCAGGCAGTGGCTTACAGTGTGCTTAACACTTGTGTGATGCAGGTGATATCTTTACATTGCCTACCTTCAGTGTCCCTGTCATCACTAAATACATCTGACAAGTTAAAAAGTCTCTTATCCAAGCAAATTCTGTCAGCTGAGAGAAACCCATCAGACCCCAGCTTCAGCAATGTTCTCAACCAAATCTGCTAGTATGGGAGTTTCAATGGGTTCAGAGAAGTCCTTACAACTCAGGACTCCTCCTAAATACATGGGGGATTTGTTCCTTTAGAGATTTATGCTTGTAAGCTCCCTAAGGAGATGTTATAAGAAAAAATCAATCCAGTTTACTTGTTGCAATTAAATATACTCTGTCAATTTTGTACTCTCTTGGAAAATCTGAAATGCTTATGATGTAGTTAATATTATAGGCAAACTGAAGCCTTCCTGAAAAGAGATCCTGTCAACAGGAAATCTGTGCATTTCTGAAATAATTTTAAAGCAATTTCTGTACCTCTCTCTTGATCCCACTCCCAATCTGATAGTTTTATCATCTTCTTTTCTTACTTTGAGCATATTGTTTTCTCCCACTTCTGACAAAGCCTGCACAACCAAACAAGAAAGACCAACTGTTGAGAAAGAACTGGAAATTTAGTTTTAGAATTAACAAGAAATACACTAAAGATAGTTACATACCTCAAGGGAGAGGCAGGCCCCCAAAGCCAGCTCTACACAAAGTGCTGCCATTGGAGCACTAGTGGAATGTGTTTCTATCCTGACAGTAATGTCACACTCTGAAGCAGTGTTAGAATTTAGTTTATCTGGGAAATAGGACTCACAGTAAATATAAAGAAAGTAACAAAGAATAGGCTACAGCCATCATCTGTTTGACTGCTTTAGTGGTCAAGAAATTCCCAGGAATAATCACCTCCTGTGTACAGAGGCTGTTCCTGTGCTCTTAGTGGTTACTTGAAAGAATTTCAATCTGAACCTTGATGTTTTACTAAGGTGTGCATCCCGCCTCTAAAGGAATTAACTTATGGAAGTTTTTTAGCCTGTGGAAAGTGGGACATCAGACTCTGATCAGGTTAGTCTCTTCTGGTTTTAGAAGCACAAGTTTTTAATATTTTCAGATTATTTTTACTTTGAATTTTTTACTTGCTTTTTCTGACAACCAACCCCCAGTAGTTAACTGTGGTGTGGAAAGGTATTTCTTTGAATGAGCATCTAGAGATTGAAATAACTTAAGAACACATCAACCAAGTTATTATAGTGATAAATCTTCAGTATAGGCCAAGGCTAGTATCAAAGTACCTTAGCTGTGATTTTTTTTTTTCTTTTAATATGCTTTACAGTAAAAGTTTGATTTGAGATGTTAACTGCATTTACAAGACAAAATATTCACACCTATTCTGGCTTGTACTTTCAAATTGTTCACATGAAAAAAGACAGAATAAAATAGGCTAGACCTTTAGGTGATGAGAAACAAAACTTAAATAGTGAGATGACTCATAGAGAACAAATATAGAACACAGAGAGAAGCCATTTATTTCTGTTAGCCTCAGTAAGTAGTACTGAAGAAATAAGAGGAAAAAACATGTATATAATTTTCCTGGCAAGAGAGAGAAGATGGCTTATAAATAAGTATTTTCAGTTTATATAATTCTTAAAAATCATATATTTTAATGTGTAGTGACTTCCCGTTGCAATTTTGTCCAGTACCCATCGAATGGTCGTGGGGGAAGTACTATGTCTACAGCTGGGTGGTTCAGATTTTCTCACCATTCTCCTCTGCGTTCCCAGGTACAGGCAGCAGGATTCTTCCATGGTGTTTATGTAGAGTGATAAAAGGTTGTGGAAGGGACTGAGAGGGGGAGAGGTGAGCTTTCAGAGATTTACTGAGATACTCACTTGTAACTAGTTTTTGTATCTTTTGGTAAAAGAACCAACAAACTCTTCATGCATTGTGCAGGGAAGGTAGGAGGGTTGAGATGGCACCACAAATGCAGCATGAATGCCATCAAAATATTCTTTTTTTTGTTGCAAGAAGGAAAGTGTGGAACCATGTGAAAACCTTGCCATGGAGCATTGTTATAAAGTATCGCAACATTGCTGTGATTTTTAATGAATGCATAGTTCCTTGCCATGTTAATAATTTTATCTTTTTTCAGGCTAGTAGTTTTAACTCCTACATTTTGATTGTGTTTCAGAACAGTCAAGCTTCAAGTGTTGGAACTGACATCTGAATTAAAGAGTGGGCAAAAAATTTCTTCCCTCTTTAACTATTGAAACAAGTAAAATGGAAAACTGACTAAAAGAGGTGAGTCCTTTCCTCTGATCATTCTCCTTGATCTCTCTCTGCACTGCTTTTATTCATTATCTCCAGGTCTGCCTCCTGCAAAGGCAGGGAGCCAAATGATTGCAAACTCTCAACTGCTTTAATGGAAACGAAGCTAGCTAGAAAATTACACGTATGATAACCCATTTTTTGTACTTAATTAGTTATACTGGCCGAGGATTCTGTTAATATTGGGTGTCTTCAAATTTTTTGCACAAGTCTGATATGAATGCAAAAATGTATATATATTATAAAAACTTAATATAAATTTAAATGTTGAGTGGATCTCCACAGAGCTAGATACACCAAAGCTACAGAGAGAGCATAGGGAATGTAAGAGCAAGGATTGATTTGGCCTAGGGGAATATAACAAAGGGGAGAGGGAAAAATGAAGTGCAGACGACGAGCATGGCCAAGGGGTTACAGCATCTTGGAAGCAACAGTGAAATGGCCTGGAAAAGCTCTGCTAGGGAAAGAACTTCCTTTTCCACAGTTTCCACAGATATTTTTGCTTGCTTTTTTTCCTGTTTCTTTTGGTTATTTTTTTACATTAAGGGAGACCTGATAAGACATACTGAAGATAAGCTGACCTCTAGCCTCTGGAACAGAAATGGAATACCAGTGAAATATCTACATATAGTGAGCTATTGGTTATTTCTCAATGCTAATCATACTGAGACAAATTAAAATCAGTTTCATATCCTGTTTGTATATTACCACATGGCAGACTTAAACACACATGCACTAGAAACAGGGAGAGTTTTTACATCTTTTTTAAATGATGTTCATTCTGCCTATGGTTTGATATGATTTTAAAAGTAACTCTTAGAACTATATTCGACTCACTACAGTTCAGTAACATGCAATTTAATTGTCATTTTAAACTAATATGTTAATCATATAATTGGGTATGGGTATTTTAGTTTAGTTATGTATGATACTGTACCTCAATTTTTAAATTTCCCTGAGTGGAGCATGAGTTTGAGATACTGCATGAAACATTTTACATCTTAGGAATACTCTTTGTATCACTCCAGAGTGATCTTTTTTCATTGTTTTCCATTGGGACAAAAAATTTCAATGACTACCTCACTTTAGAAATATAACTTCTTACAACTAGAAGGTTATCTAATCATCCAGCAGCTTTGTATTTTAGTAAATGTATTTTAAGAGGAGAAAGAAGCAGAGTGTTGAAACATTTCCATAGCCATAAAACTGTATCCATAATGACTTATATATGAGATATGTAGCGATAGATAGATAGAGACATAGATACATAGATACATAGATAGATAGATATCCTTCTACATGTTATATATTTATTATACATATGTATTTATACATTGCAAGTATATATTTCTAAGGTACATACACACTACAAAAAGTGGTAAATTTCCTTTACAGAATAAAACTTGGGACTAGTGTGCATCCTCTGAAATGTGAGGATCGAATGTGAAGTAGATCAGTTCAGCTAACTCTGCCTCAGTTTGGCCTTTTGTAGAACTCTGAAACTTTATTGAAAAGGTGACATAAAGTTTGCAGTGGTGTGATTTTTCCCAAGAAAAAGTTGGATTTTTACCTTAGGAATTTTTTTTTCACAGTATTACATTTGCTTATCGTTTACAGATATTTATGTACATTTTCTTACACACAAAAAACCGTATCCCATCAGCTTCCAGTAGTTTGGGTAAAAGAAAACATTATGTCATTGAAGAAGATATTTTGATTAGTGATACATTCATTAGAAGAACAGGTTATTTTCCTCAGGAATATATTGACAATATCACTTGAGAGTGATTCAGTGGCCCTTGTGGGTCCCTTCCAACTCAGACTATTCTGTGATTCTATGAATATAATGTTACTCTTTTGTCGTGAACTTTGTTCAAGGGAAATGCAGACAGAACTTAAAAATTCCATTAAATCATGGTATGTTTATCATCAGGGAGAAGATGACTAGGCTTTGAAAAAGTCAAATAAAGAGAATCTATATGAAATGTGTTAGGGATGTGGATGAAATTGTACTTTAATGAGACCAAACAAAAGGAATATAATTGATCTGCTACAGTGAGGATGTATGGAAGTAATTTAAACCTTAAGGTCCTCTTGTCTTAGTGGGAGACAGGATAGCGGATGTTTTGTATGATCTAATTATGCGGAAGTCTCAGGCTCTGCAAAATATTATTCCTGAGGGGAAGAGGACACAAGACAAAGAGAACGAATTACGAGTTGAATGATATGATGATATTTGATACAGTACAAGGGGAAGCATAAGACATTTCACTAATAATTCTGGTGTGAAAGTAACAGCTGTAATGAGAAAAATTAGAAAATTGCCTCAGGTAAAGTACACTGAGAAGGCAGAAAAGCTTGGATGAGGCAAAGGTACTTCAATCAAATATAAAGAAAAAAGCAGATTTCTAGTGTAAATTGAAAAAAAATTGATTATGACTTGCTTGAGGTATTTTAAAGAAAAATTTAGGCAGGACTTCTTATTACAGCTTAATAGCAATTCCCTGAGCAGTTATAGAAAGCCTATGAATCAGAGAAAAGAAACTAAACTGACTGTGAGATAGACAAGTGATTTGTCTGTCTATTAGATAAAACAAGACCTTTCAAACCAAAATTCAAATTTTATATATTCCTACTTCCTTCTCTATTTATGGGGAAACCAAACATCAAAATTAAAGACAGGGACAACTCTTTTAAGCATTTTTGCATCCAGAACTAGTTGGAAGTCCAGGAAATATCCATAATGTTTTGAGATGAGCTGGATACTGAAATATTCCAGACAATTGTTCGCTATTAGTATCTTAGTGACAACAAGAATTTCATAAGTCTGACAAACCATCTGTGTAGGCATAATGGAAAGTGGAGATACAGAACCCTAGAATCACAGAATGGCTTTGGTTGAACAGGACCTTAAAGATCCTTAAGTGCCTTAAGCACCTATTATAAATGTGAAGAAAAGATCAAAAACTGCAGATAGACGGGTGTTGGGATACAGATTCAAATATTGAATCAAAAGCTTCTTTACTATTGAAATTAAGGAAACAATAATTAACAACTATAAGCTATAGAAGCTTATCTTTGAGTAATAAAAATTATCATTAATTTGCTTATATGAGTTAAATATGTAAGTTGGAGGAAAAAAGAATAAATAAAGAGAAAGGTCGATATTTGATATAGCTAAGGACAGAGACATTTTTTCTGTGTCATTCTGAAAACAATGTCCCTTCATCTCAGCTAGCAGAAATAGAAGTCCCCACAGCTATTATCAATTTTGTATCAAAATTTATTTCAGACATGAATCTTTTATCTCCTGCTTTTTAGAGTTGGTATCATCTAAATATTTATTGACTGAGTTATAGACAAAGGTAGGGTCCTTCTCCATATGACATCTAAACTAACTTTTCTTTCTGGTGGAAGATAGGCTATTGGTGGTGGCAATTGACCCAACTTGCCAGTAGGCTTTATTTCCTATAGTTGGCCTTAACTTCTGTAAAAATAGAGAAATTTTGTAACATTCAGATCAGTTATTTTTTTTACAGCCTTTAAAGCATTACTACATTACACTGGCAGGGTTTAAACAGAATAATAAAAAAAGTCCTTATTTATGCTTTAATACAAACAATGTCACAGAACTAAACAAAATATTTTCTTTATTTTTAAAAACTTATTTTTTTATTTAAAATACTAATTTATCTATTTCATAGTATTTAAATAACAAAGTAAACAGGTTGATAAACTGAGATGAACAGTCTCAGGAAAAGCGAGATGGAGCAACTTCAAGACATCATTGCCTGATTCCCAGCCCATACCCATTGCCTTGATAAATACAACATTGTAGAAGATAGGTGAAGAAGTGAGGCCAAATTCTTAAGGAAATTGACTCTTTTTATTTATTCTACTGCTTCCTATTAATCCAGTGGAATGCTAGATGATCCTTTCATTTTAAAATACCTGTCCTTGTGGCTTTCTTTTCCTCGAGTGAAAGTCATAGCCAAAGTAGAGACGCATGTGAGAGCATGACTGTCGAGTGACATCCCTGAGGCAAAGACGGTATTGGAGATGGGTACCATTCTTGTAAGGTCTCTCAGAAGAGACCTTACATCTCTAGCTTGGGAAACACCAGAATTATTCAACCTTCTTATGCTTTTCTGTACTTTTCTTTAGGCATCTACTGCCACTGTGGTTTATGCCAGTGGCTCAATGAGCCTTTGAATTCACTCAGAACGGCTATTTTTGGATGTGCACACTACTGGAAGTGCATGCCTGTAAGAAGCTTTTATGGTTGGACAAAAAGTAATGACAATATAAACTCTGAGAAATGGAATAGTTCTTATATTGCAGTCACTCTCTTCCAGTAAAAACTTTCAAGCCGAGCACAGTGGGAAATCCAATTTACTCCCATGGTACAAAATCATATTCCTGAAATAATTCACCACTGTTAGAAACAAGCCAACGTGTGGAACTGGCATTGATTTTTAGGCTGATGCAGGAGAGATGCCTTTTTTTGCATTGTACATCATAAGCAGACACAGACACAATGATAAATATCTCATCATTTCCTGATGGCTTCATGGAATCAGGGACTGCACATTTATGGTCACACTGGAAAGGTTATAGGAACCCATCTGTCCTTATATGGTCTTCCTCTGTATATTTATATGATTACAACAACTACAGCAAAAACGTAATAAGAAAATATGATTCAGATAATCCTCTTAGTTCAGGTTGCAGGGATGGAACTGGCACTGTGCAAAATAAAAAGATAAATGTGTTCTTTCTGGATAGTGAAAGTGTGGCCAAGGTACATTAGTAGCCTCTTCTGACTCATTGGGTAATGTGAAATTATGGTCTCCTGAAAGCTTTATTTTATATGAAACTCTGCCATATGGCTATTATTTTAACCTGTTGCTACAATCTGTTTTATTTCTATTGTATAGTTTCTACTTACCTTTTGTTTTCCTGCCTTGCCCTGC